GCTAATTTCTTTGGAGCTAGCTAATTGGTTAAGGACACGAGTTCACTCCTGCAGATCACTGGGTACCAATTAGTGCTAATTTTTGGCTAGAGTGGAAAATCTGCTGAAACTAACCTTAGGATATTTGATGGAATAAATGTAAAGTGATGACGCTAGGGACCAGGAATTTTAGAAAACAAGCATTTGGTATCCACCTTAGATTGGAGGGCCCAGGAAATTTCACTGTAGGCTGAGCCAACTGGGGGAGCAAGACAGTGAAGGCAGGCAGCTGGGGACTCGGGCATCTCTATATTTCTGATGAAGATGATGAAGAAACAGGCTTTTAAAAAAATTTTAAAATTTATTTGAAAGGCAAATTGAGAGAGAGAGAGACAGAGAGAGAGAGAATCAAGATCTTCCACTTGCTACTTTACTCCCAAAACGGCAGCAATGGCCAGGGCTGGGCCAGGCCAAAGCCTGTAACTGGGAACTTCTCCCAGGTCTCCCACGTGGGTGCGGAGGCCCAAGCACTTGGGTCATCTTCCGCTGCCTTCCTAGCACATTAGCAGGGAGCCAGATCAGAAGTGGAGCAGCCAGGACTCAAACCAGTGCCCGTATAAGATGCCAGTGTGGGGCCAGCGCTGTGGCATAGTGGGTAAAGCTGCCGTCTGCAGTGCCAGCATCCCATATGGGCACCAGTTTGAGTCCCAGCTGGTCTACTTCTGATCCAGCTCTCTGCTATGGCCTGGGAAGGCAGTAGAAGATGGGCCAAGTGCTTGGGCTCCTGCACCCACGTGGGAGACTCAGAAGAAGCTCCTAGCTCCTGGTTTCAGATCGGCGCAGCTCCGGCTGTTGTGGACATTTGGGGAGTGAACCAGTGGATGGAAGACCTCTCTCTCTGTCTCTACCTCTCTCTGCAACTCTGTCTTTCAAATAAAGAAAATAAATCTTAAAAAAAAAATAAGATGCCAGTGTGGCAGGTGGTGGCTTCAGGTGTTACGCCACAGTGCTGGCCCGGAGACACAGGCTGACCCCTTCAGGCCAGCATGCCTCCCCCTGGACTCACTGCAGGCCTCCTGTGGCCCAACTTTCCTGTATAACTTGCAGTTTGGGGACAGCAGGCGAGAGCAGGAGTTGGAAGACCTCTCTCTCTGTTCTTCCCCTTCTGGAACTCAGACTCTCAAATGAATAAATATTGTTTAAAAAGTCTCCCCTACTAATCTGTGATGCCATGAGGGCAGGGATGGTGTTTCTACTGACAAGGTCCCGGAGCCTCGCACAGGGCCTGGCACATAGTGAGGGCTCAACATGGATCTACTGAAGGGAGGAGGGGAGGAAAGAGGATGGGGGGGTCCCTGGAAATAGAAAGGTTCCAGGAGAAGATATGAAGGACTGTCTTAGAGAGGAATGGTGGAAATACTGTTATTGGCACGGGGGACAGGGAATACAGCACCGAAGCAGTCCCTATACTTCTGTATAAGAAACCTTCCAGTTCTGAGAACTGGCGATTAAACGAAACAAATCCATTTCCCACCATAAAATAGAAAAAAAAGGCAAGAAAAAAATTAAGAATGCACAGCATTGCGAATGGGTTTCCATCCCTAACTGCAGTCATGGTCACATCTAACTTCACCAAGTAAGTATGATTGACTCAAATATTGGAGTCATTTATTTTTTCATGAGTCATAGCTATAATTTATGGAATGGGAAAGAGAGAATTAAATTACTCTTTTGAGGAAAGTAACTTGGAGAATTAAAACATGAACCAGCCCAGCACTCCAGAGCAGTTCTTCTTAGTGACCGTTCAGTACACAATTAGGTAAAGCCCAATGGAGTTTTTTTCCACTGAGTCCTTCCAAAGGGTACACAGATGGAAGGACAAAGATGAGAAAAATTCTAGTTCCATTTTTCCAAGTTGCTGTCAGCAGTACAGGATGCCGCTTAGAATCAACCACTTCACCTTAACTTCAATGTCCTAAAACCTGTGGACTTGTGATGAAAGAACAAAGTCTGATTGTAGCCCTCTGTAAGGAAAGTGGATGATAAACAGAAGGACCATGTAAAAAGAAGTCAGAGCTGATTCCGTGCTAAGAAGGCAAAGTGAACAATTTGCCGATACTTAATCTCTCTGTGTAATCTGCAATTGTATTATTTTCTCACTGGTCTACTCAGTTGTTGGTGGAACTCGTCCACTGTCATTGGACATTTTGCTGCTGTCACATACCTGGAATGGGCTGCCTAGAGACGGTTCCTGCTCAAGTTGTTCCCAAGACTCTCACGTCTGGGCAGGCCCTCGGGCCTTTGCTGGGTTTGTTAACCAGCCTTGGCAGTCAAGTCAATCCTAGCTCAATTCTCAGTTTCCAGTAGAACCACGGTGTCATCAGTACACTGTAGTATCACACCTGAGACCTGCACCAAGTCCATCCCTTCCAAGCCAGGACAGTGAGGTGGGTACAGACAACCAGGTGGTAGCATAGGAGGTAGAAACTGGGTCCCTTCTCAGGGGGAAGTGAACGGGGGTTGGCTCTTTTCCAAGACTGAGACAAAGGAGGAGGAACTGGCGAGATCCATCGCTGAGTGCCAGTTTCCCTTTGCCTGCAGTACTTTTGCATTGTTGAAACCATGACCCGACTGCTGGGCTACAGACAGCACAGCTGTGTTAGCCTCACTGTCAGAAGTCTGCAGACGCCACAGCGGCTACCACTCAGAGAAGTCTGCAGACGCCACAGAGGCTACCACACAGAGAACCTGTCGGCAATCACTGGCTCTCCAAATTCTAGCACGTCATTAATTAGATGGATAATCTCTTCGGTCACTTGTGTTTTATGACATTTTAGATTACCCACCAGTGTGGGTGCAGGCAGTTCTAGTGGTTCCACTCAGCCTAAGCAGACCTGGCCCTAAGGCAGACTCCAATGCCTTCCGTTTTCCAGTGTTAGGTGGTGGGAGCAGTCCTCGATTGACATCACATCAATCATGCATGCAGACCAGTTCACTTAAAGTCTGTTCAAACACTCTGGTTTTCATCCAAACGTTCAACTTAATTCCATCAACCCCTGCATCTCCAATGTCCTCCCAATCTAACTCTGCCCCAGTGAAGACCTGGTCCTGGAAGAGTCTCTGCCCCAGATCACTGGATCCACACTTGTGCATACGGCCTCAGACCAACTTTTGCCTCAATTAATCTCTGTGAGCATCATGCAGTTCCTGTCACTCCCCCATTCGTGGAGGAACGACACTAGACCCTGCACTGTTCTTTTGTCTGCTCGTCTCTTCCTGGGTTTGCTGCTGGTCCTTCCCGGGTTGGCTGCCGACCCCTCCACCTCCGTGGAGGGGCGGCACCCCCTGCCACTTTCCCCGCTTCCGCGGAGGAGCGGCACACCGCCACCGGCTCTCTCGGGGGCTGCTCAGGTGTTCCTTCAGATGTTCCTGGTGCATGTTGTCTCTCTCCTCCTTTATAGTCCTCTTCCACCAATCCCAACTCTGCTACCCACATGCCGAGTACGCTGCTCTCCTCCAATCAGGAGCAGGATCAGCTCCTGCAGCTTATCAGTCAAGCTGCGTAGAAGTTTACTCCACCCCAGCGCCATATTGTGGGAGAGCAGATGCATAGAATAAGTCTTAATTCCAGTAACTTAGTCTAGTCTCAGTTGCTCCCCACAAGTTCCTGGTATTGTTTCTCACTGCCCCTTAGTTTTTCTCTTCTTCTTTTTTAAAGTTTATTTACGCGTTTAAAGTCAGAGAGAGAGAGGGAACCTTCCATCCACAGGTTCACTCCCCAGATGGCCATGATGGCCAGGGCCAGGCCAAGCCGAGAAGGGGGCCCCATTGCTCCCGGCCACCTTTGGTTACACAGCATCAATGCTTTTGTCTCAGCGCCATCAAGTCCACCTCCTTCATCTCATTTTGCAATAACCACCTACAGATTCCCATCGTGCTGGAACCAGTTCCTCTCACCCTCAGCTCTCCAGGTTTTCTTTATTTCTTTTTTTGACAGGCAGAGCGGACAGTGAGAGAGAGAGAGACAGAGAGAAAGGTCTTCCTTTGCCGTTGGTTCACCCTCCAATGCGGCCGGCACACCGCGCTGATCTGATGGCAGGAGCCAGGTGCGTCTCCTGGTCTCCCATGGGGTGCAGGGCCCAAGCACTTGGGCCATCCTCCACTGCACTCCCTGGCCACAGCAGAGAGCTGGCCTGGAAGAGGGGAAACCGGGACAGAATCCGGCGCCCTGACCGGGACTAGAACCTGGTGTGCCGGCGCCGCAAGGCGAAGGATTAGCCTAGTGAGCCACGGCGCCAGCCTCCAGGTTTTCTTTTCAATTACTTTAATGTCTTTGGTATCATGAAAGCCCATATGGGACAGCTGAGATAGCAGATCTGATAAGGCTCTTGGCTGCCATTAGATCTGGCAGAACCGGAGCCCCCCCTAATCATAGCACTATGGTAACCTGGGTCACGGGCATCATCAGTGGGCACATTTCCTGATTAACCTAAGGTTGGTCTCATACTGCTGGCTTACGAAGCTGCTTCATCTGGGGTGTTCCACTTGGCATCTCCTGGGGGAGTCAGGCAGCTCCCCCTCACTGGATAAACTCACTTTACGGTGGCTGTCACGCAGTCTGCTGTGCTGGTGCTGCCCAGGAATGATCCCATGTGCCGAGGTCACATACGCTATCCGTGACTGTTCAACAGTGAGCTGTGGGTCCCTTACAAAGCCTCGCCGCTGCACAGAGACTGAACGACACTGGCCCTAAATGAGTCACTTTGCAATTAATTTTAGCAAAGGTTCTGGAGGAAGCTCGGGACACTGCCCACACAGACTGCAGTCTGAACCAGGCCCACTTCAAGGTCTGACCCAACACTTTTTTTTTTTTTTTGCTTCCATTTTAGCTGTTAGAAACAACAATAACCAAGGCATTGTGTGTGCAACAGGCTTACTACTCTGTTTTTCCTATGCATCCAATGAGCCAGTTCCTCGGTGGGCAGGCTACCACCCTCCCTCAATCCCCTTGGCAACCTTACCTTTGGTAACAGGTGGCAGCAAAGCCGCAGTTTCCTGCCCTGGTGGGAGGGGAGCCACTCAGGACTCAAAGGCCCCTCACCGTCCTGCTTGTCTCCTTTCTCTTCTCAACCACGTGTATCCGCGAGGCGGCACCAGTCTGTCATGTCCCGCCTCTCTGACACCCACTGAAAAAGGGAAAACAAGTAGTTTTTCTGTATACTCACACATTCCTTCACTTCCGGCTCATGTGTCAGGACTGTCCCCACACGAAGCACTCCCCCAGTTTCTGTAGACACAAACTGAGTGTCCTACAATCTAACCCAGTTCTGACCTTCTGCCCACAGATAGATTCACAAGAGCCCACAAGACTGACCCTACCTCATACGACAATCACAAGCCCAGGATGTCATGCGTACTTCTGTCCTGACTGCCCAGCTATTAGACAGAGGTGTCCAGGGGCTGGCATTGTGACATAGTGGGTAAAGCCTCTGCCTGCAATGTCAGCATCCCCTATGGGCGCAGCTTCACGTCCTGGCTGCTATACTTCCTATCCAGCTCCCTGCTAATGGCCCGTGAAAAGCAACGGTAGGTGGTCCAACTATTTGGGCCTCTGCACCCAAGTGGGAAATCCTGGCTCTTGGCTTCAGCCTGGCTCCGTGCTGGCCATTAAAGCCATCTGGGGAGTGAACCAGCAGATGGAAGATCTCTGTCTATCTCTCCTCTCTCTTTGCAACTCTGCCTTTCAAATAAATAAATCTTTTAAAAAAAATCAAAGGTGCCCAGTGTCAACTTCCCCTCCTCCTACAAGGATCAAACATTTGCTGGAACAGCTCAGGAAAACAGTTCAGAAATTAGATCGGGACCTAGAAGCAGTCCAGAAAACTCGATCAGTGGTTCATACAAAGGCCGCATTAGAGGACACAGTGAATAAAGATGAAGGGATGCACAGGGTGAAGGCCGCGCAGCCCCAAGCACAGGAGCGTCTGATCTCGCATCCCGGGCCGGCCACCCTCTGGGCGTACGCATGCATCCTGCTCACCAACCTGCAATCGCGCCGTCCTTTCGGGTTTTCACAGGGCCTCAATACATAGGCGCGGCTGAGTCAATCACTGGTCACGGGATCAGCTCAACCTTTAGCCCCTCTCCTGCTTGAACAGTACAAGAAGACCAGCTCCATGACCCGGAGGGGGTTCCCAGCAATGGCCTCTGCACTGGCACGTGCACTGGATCTCCCTGGGGCCTCACCCTGGGACTGCACCATCAGCTCACCTGGGTCTCCAGCCCAGCGACCCACACTGAAGAGTGGGACTTGCCAGTCCCACAATCAACTCCTTAGGATACCTGTCTGTCTGTCTGTCTCTCTCTCCATGCACACACCCATCCTAGTGGTTCTATTTCTCTGGAGAGCACAGATTATATAGATTTTGTTTGTTTTTAAAAAACATTTTTATTTGAAAGGCAGAATGAGAGAGAGAGAGAGAGAGAGAGAGAGAGAGAGAAAGAGAGAGAGGTCTTCCATCTGCTGGCTCACTCCCCAAATGGCTGTAACAGCCAGGTCTGGGCTGGACCAAGGCCAGGAACCAAGAATTCCTCTGGGTCTCCCACATGAGCGTCAGGGGCCCAAGTGCTTGGGCTAACTTCCGTCACCTTCCCTGGAGCATTAGAAGGAAGCTGGATTGGAAGCAGAGTAGCTGGGACTCAAACCAGGGCTCCAGTATGGGATGCCAGCATCACAAGCAGGAACTTAGCCCACTGCACAATGTTGCCACTCAGACTTTGTTCTAAGAGTGTTTCTAGAAGCAACAGAAACTTAAGGATGGGTTGTGGGAATTGGTTTCTGGCACTAGCTTTAATTGGATTAGACTTGGAGACACCGACGATGCTACTGCAGTAGAGAGAGCACTAAGAGGCCATGGCATGCTCTGACCACAGAGCTATGCATATCACCATCAGCTATTCCTATTCCAACACACAAGCAGCAGTGATCCTGGTGGACATGCATCTGACGCTTTCACAGACTGTCAAACTGACAAGTGTGGTACTTGACCCTGATGTCAGCGAGCAAGGCGGGAAAAGAAGAGGATGCACTCTATAAATGACCGGAAAGCTCTGTCTGCCTTGCAAGGGACTCCTAGCACCCCAAAGCCACGTACCTCAGATTGCTAAAGACCAAACCCAGAATCTCATCCTGTGAGTGGCTGAATTAAAATGAAAACTGATTTTTCCAGCCTCAAAAAAATGTTTGCTGTTGACGTGAGGGCACTGGTTGGGAAGGAGTGGGATGCTGATGGCTGGAACACACTATCAGTGTCCTTTGAGGCAGTTGCCTTGTAAGACAATGCCAGTTCTCAGGACCTGCCCCCACCACTCTTCTCTGCTTCTCTATGACTAGACACAAGTCCCAACAGGCCCCTAAAAGTGAGGTGTAAAGTGTGACCCCTGAGGGAGGGCATTACATGCTAAAACATAACTTGAGCTTCTGATGTAGAGAAAGAAATCTAAGGAACATGTACTGGGATGGATATTAAGGGTACAGGTTGATGGTTAAAGGATCACAATGTTAGATGAGGCCAGATTTATTGATGTAAGTCAACTATGCCGAGATTCCACACGTAATGTCATGGCTCAGTCAGTTAAAAAGGACTCCAGTTGTCTGTTACCTGCTAAAACACGGACTAAGAGCTGCCCACAGCAGTTAGCTAGAAGGGACACATCTGGCTTGGTGAGTTGTGGAGGATGAGACTCAAATGCTTAGGGAGACTGGAATGTTAAAGTGGACTTGTCATTCAAGACGTAACCACCAAGGGAAGGTCAAGAAGGCTGACCTTTCGCCAATATTGTGGGAAATACATTCATGAGGGGAGCACCGTCATCCCTGAAATTGCTCTTCTCCACGGGAACTGCAGCCACTGGACTGAGAGACCCAACGCCACAGCAGTGACTGGGTCCTGGCGCAGCAGGGGCCAGGTGACAGCACTCAGCCATCAAAGCCAAAATGGCCAGGGCTGCCGTAATGGACAGGAGAGTCAAGGCAGCAATCGTAGTAGTCTGACTCATGCACACCCACAGTGCCGGCTAGTTGGCCACAGTGTTCCTGGAAGTGAAACACAGATAGGAAGCCTACCAACTGCTTACTTGATTTGTGCAAGCAGAACATCTCTAGGTCATGAGAACAAAGGTTACGCTGATTCATAAAAAGTGAGTAATGAGTCTTCAATCAATTCCTAGACTTGATCCAGTTTACAGACCCAGAATCCCTTGAATGAAGGGGAGCTCAGGTACCACTGAAGAAGGACCCCCAGTGTACCACCCAAACTTTTTTTTTCTTTTTTTTTTTTATTGACAGGCAGAGTGGACAGTGAGAGAGAGAGACAGAGAGAAAGGTCTTCCTTTTGCCGTTGGTTCACCCTCCAATGGCCGCCGCGGCCGGCGCGCTGCGGCCGGCGCACCGCGCTGATCCGATGGCAGGAGCCAGGAGCCAGGTGCTTTTCCTGGTCTCCCATGGGGTGCAGGGCCCAAGCACCTGGGCCATCCTCCACTGCACTCCCTGGCCACAGCAGAGGGCTGGCCTGGAAGAGGGGCAACCGGGACAGAATCCGGCGCCCCAACCGGGACTAGAACCCGGTGTGCCGGCCCCGCTAGGCGGAGGATTAGCCTAGTGAGCCGCGGCGCCGGCCCACCCAAACTTTATAATGTTGGTAATTCTTCTAGCCTTCCCCGAAGTTACCAGAGTAACTGTAGTTGGAGAAAATGAAAGAATCAGAACTTCCGTGGGCTAATAGACGCTGGTCTGAATAATTCTAGGAGACCCAAAGCGTCACTGTGCTCTACCAGGTCAAGTAGCAGCTTACAGAGGTGGGTGATTTAGGCAGTTTACCTTAGGTTCGTCTCTCTGTGGTTATTCCCCCAGCCCAGAATGTGTAGTTGGAATGGATTTACTCAACAGCTGGCAGATCCCCATATTGCCTCCTTGGCCTGTGGAGTGAGGGCCATTATGGTGGCAAAGCCAAGGGGAAGCCACTAGAACTGCTTCTACCTGGAAAACTAGCAAACCAAAAGTACGTGCATTCCTGGAGGGACACAGGAATTGGTGTCACCGTCAAGGACTTGAAAGATACAAGGGAGGTGATTCTCACCTCTTCCCCGTGCAGCTCACTATTTAGCCTGTGCAGAAGACAGATGGATCTTGGAGAATGACCAGGTGGTGACTCCAATGATAGTTACTGTGCCAAGGGTGGTTTTGTTGAGCAAATGAACATAGCTCCTCACACCTGGTATGCAACTATTGATCTGATAAATGCTTTGTCCTCAACCCCTGTCGATACAGACCACCAGAGGCAATTTGACCTTGGATGGCAAGGCCAGAGACACACCTTCACTGTGCTACCCCAGGGTATGTCAATTCTACAGGTCTATGCCACAGTCTGGTCAGCAGGGATTTTGACCACCTTTTCCCCTCCAGACTATATCACACCGGTCCACTGCACTTATGATGCTATGGGGACTAGACCTATGAGCACGCAGTAGCCACTACTCTACTCGTTGGTAAGACATTTACATGTCAGAGGGTGGGAAATGACCTGATAAAACCCAAGGGTCTGCTATCTTGGTGAAAGTTCTGTTGTATTAGTTTGAAAGGCAGAGTTACAGAGACAGAGGGAGAGAGGGATCTATCTTCCATCCTTTGGTTCACTCCCCAAATGGCCACAACAGCCAAGGCTGAGCCAGTCTGGAGCCAGGAGGCTGGAACTCCATCGGGGTCTCCCATGCTGGTGGCAGGGGCCTAAGTACTTGAGTCATTTTCTGCTGCCTTCCCAGGTGCATTAGCAAGGCACTTAATCAGCAGTGGAACAGCTGGGACGTGAACCCAGTGCATCACAGGTGGTACTTACCTGCTGCACCACCACGCCAGCCCCAATCTTAGTGACGTTTCTAGGGGCCCCAAGGTGTGGGCATGCCAAGAAATCCCTCCTGAGGTGAAGGAAAGGCCGTTGCATCTGGCCCCTTCCGCAACCAAACGGGCACACACCCCACTTAGTGGGACTCTCTGGAGTTTGGAGGCAACGTATTTCTCATTTGGGTCTGATTCTCCAGCCCTTCCATGGAGTGATGGAACAGCTGCTAGCTGCAAGCGGGGCCCAGCACAGGAGAAGGCTGTCTGCAGCAGGTCCACACTGCTGTGCATGCTGTCCTGCCATCTGGACCACCAAATCCAGTAGAACCAACGCTACCTGAGGTGTCGGCGACAGACAGGGAGGATCTTTGCAGACCCTAGCAGGCCTCTGCAGTGAGCAGCAGTGCAGGCCCTTGGGATATGCAAGCAAAGCCCTGCTTCCTCTGAGGGAAACTTTCTCCTCTAGATAAACAGTTTTTGGCCTGGTAATGGGCCTCAGTAGGGACTGAATGCTATCAAGTTAGCAGGCAACCTGAGCAAGGTGAATTGGCTCTTATCTGGCCTGCCAAGCCATAAAGTTGGGTGTGCACAGCAGATTCATCATCAAACAGAAGTGAGTATGAGGCAGGGCCCAAGCAGACCCTGAACACACAGGGAAGTTCCGTGCAGAAGCAGCCCAAATGCCTGTTGCTCCCGTTCCTGCTACACTGCTTCTCTCTCGCAGGCGGCATCTGTGACCTCCTACAGGGGGAGTTCCTGATGGCCAGCTGACAGGAACAGGAAGCTCAGGCCTGGGTTACGGAGGTGCTGCAGGCACCACTGCACAGGCACCAGCGTGGGCAGCCCCAGCACGACAGCCCCTTTCTGGCACAACCTGAAAGACTGCAGGAAAGGAAGTTCTCTCAGGGCTGAACTCTGAGCAGTGTACCTGGCTGTTGTTTTGTTTGGAGAAAAACTGGCAGACACAAAACTGTATACTAATTTTTGGGCTGTGACCAATGGTTTGACTGGATGATTAAGGACTTACAAGGAATATGACTGGGAGGTGGGTAACAAGAACGTCTGAGGAAAAAGAAGTGTATAGACCTCTCCAAATGGAGGCAAAAAATTATGTCCTACATCATTCACGCACCAAGGGTAACCTCAGCAGGGAATTTTAACAATCAAGCAGACAAGATGACTGCTTTGTGGATACCAGGATATTAATCCATTTTTCCTTACTATAACAAAATACTGGAGGCAGGCTACTTTGTAGAGCAAAGAGGTGATTTTGACCCATAGTTCTGGAGGTGCAAAGTCTAGGGGCCTCATCATGTGATGGCCTTCCTGCTGGCAGCGCCTGAAGGACACGGGCATCACACAGCAGGACAAAGGACTCATGTGTCTGTGTGCCTCTCTCCCTCTGCTTATAGAGCTGCCAGGATTGGATCATGGGGGCTCCACCCTCATCACTTCATGTCCTACCAATCACTGCATGAGCCAGTTCTTTACGGCAGATCTCCATATGTGTATGTACATACATGAGGGTATATCTGTATATATACATATGAACATACATCCAAAAGTTAGCAAAGAATTAAACTTACCTTTAATTAAATCTTTCCAGAGACATTCAGAGGTATCCTTGTCCAGGAGTACTTAAAGTTAGCGCTCTGTATCCATGAGCTCTGCATCTGTGGATTCAATCAACCATGGATCCAAAAATTCAGACAGAAATTATATCTATACTGCAGAGGTATAGACTTTTTGGCCATTATCCCATAAACAATACAGTATAACAACTATTTATATAGCATTTACAGGCTACCTAAAAAAATTGTGGGAAAAATGGAATTAAAAGATAAACTTTATGGCTGGTGCCGCGGCTCAATAGGCTAATCCTCCGCCTAGCGGCGCCGGCACACCGGGTTCTAGTCCCGGTTGGGGTGCTGGATTCTGTCCCAGTTGCCCCTCTTCCAGGCCAGCTCTCTGCTGTGGCCCGGGAGTGCAGTGGAGGATGGCGCAAGTCCTTGGGCCCTGCACCCCATGGGAGACCAGGATAAGCACCTGGCTCCTGCCTTCGGATCAGCGTGGTGCGCCGGCCTCAGCGTGCCAGCCGCAGCGGCCATTGGAGGGTAAACCAACGGCAAAGGAAGACCTTTCTCTCTCTCTCTCTCTCTGTCAACTCTACCTGTCAGCAAAAAAGAAACAGAGAAGATAGCTTTGTGTGGTACAAAAAATTTTGAAATACCTTCTGGGGCCAGTGCTGTGGCACAGTAGATTAATCTTCCGCCTGTGGTGCCAGCACCCCTTATGGGCGTTGGTTCTAGTCTCGGCTGCTCCTCTTCCGATCCAGCTCTCTACTATGGCCTGGGAAAGCAGGAGAAGATGGTCCAAGTGCTTGGGCCCCTGCACCCATGTGGGAGACCTAGAAAAATCTCCTGGCTTCTGGCTTTGGATCAACCCAGCTCCGGTCATTGCAGCCATCTGGGCAGTGAACCAGCAGATGGAAGACTTTTTCTCTAGGCCTCTCCCTCTCACTGTCTCTAATTCTGCTTCTCAAAATAAACAAAATCTTTTAAAAAATAAAAATTAAAAAAGAAATACATGCAGTTTCTTTCAAAGATTTTATTTATTTATTTGCGAGGCAGAGTTACAGTTAGAGGGAGAGACAGAGAGAAAGGTCTTCCCTCCATTGGTTCACTCCCCAATGGCCGCAATGGCCAGAGCTGCACGGATCCAAAGCCAGGAGCCAGGAGTTTCTTCCGGGTCTCCCACACAGGTGCAGGGGCCCAAGGACTTGGGTCATCTTCTACTGCTTTCCCAGGCCACAGCAGAGAGCTGGATAGGAAGAGGAGCAGCTGGAACTTAGAATTGGCGCCTATATGGGATGCGGTTGCTGCAGGTGGAGGATTAACCTACTGTGCCACAGTGCAGGCCCCACAGGCAGTTTATAATATTATGTATTTCCATGAACTTTTGGAAGCTCCTGTGTATTCATAAATTTCAAAAAATTTTGTGCTAAAAAAACTTATCTTTTAATACTATTTTCTATGAACTTACTAAAGTACCCTCATATTAGGTATTGTAAAGAATGTAGAGATGAATTAAGGTATTTGAGAGGGTGTGTGGAGTGTTCCATGCCAATAGCACACCATGTTACATACGGGACTTGAGCACTGGCAGATTTCAGTATCCATGGTGGAGGCGTGGGTCCCCCCACAGATACAGAGGAGGGATGACTACACTGCAACTTTCATGTATGCTTTTTAATTATTTCAAAACAAGAAGTTGAACATTGCACTGGGAGGCTATTTATTTTTTAATTAACAAAATTCAAGATTCTCTCTGTCTCTCTCTCTCTAACTGTCCACTCTGCCTGTAAAAAAAAAAAAATTCAAGGAAGATTTACCTGGCATTTTGCATTTTGGGCTGGGATTCTCTTACTTTGCATTCCATTGAAATGAGAACTCAAGTCAGGCTCAGGGTTAGGTAAGTCATGTGGTGGGTGCTTATCTCAGGTAGCAGGTATGAGGGAATGGGGAGAGTCAGACATCGTAGGAGACACTCCCAGAACACACTATCGGTTGATCTCTCACTGGAGGCATCTGGACTCAGTCCTGTGAGGACAGGGGCAGTCACCAGTCACTGTCCACACTGCTCCAGGTGCGGTCTGTGTGATGGCAGGTCGCTTCCAAGATTAGGTGATAAAAACCTACTAATCCTTTGGGGGTACTGGTTCTTTCTCTTTTAGAATGCTAACTCTTGGGGGAAGTTGCAGGGTGAGGAGCCATGAGGAAGGGACCCAGGGGCAATGTGAGGCCTCCTCCATGGGAGCCTCCCACCCCAATCATGCCTCAGATGACTGCGGCATTGGCTCCCATGTGGACTGCAGTACCATGGGAGACTGAGCCGGGGCACCCCGCTGAGCTCCTCGATTCCCACAGACACTGTGAAATAAGAAATGTTGGTGACTTCAGACCACTGGTTGAAGTCACTTGTATACAGCAGCAGGTAATGAGCGCACGATGCTTAGGGGAACGACCTTAGAAGTCAAAGACGGAGGCACTGGGGCACTGACCCACACAGCCCCATTCCCACTTTGGAGGGGGGATGCTGCTGACAGCCAGAGCTGACCATCACAGCTGAAATCAAAGGTGGGCTAGGACAGACCCAGACAAGCACCCGCTGCAGGATCTAATGATAGTTTTATCTCTAACTCTGTCGGACAAGATACGGGTTGTATACTTGCGTAATACGAAGCTCCCTTTAGGATCTTTTCCCTCTTTATTTGCCCTGTTAGTCTTTCAAAGCCGGCAAACTTCATCCTGCAGAAACAGTAACCCAGGCAGAAATAGGATTTCTAAGGCTTTGTGTTTTCTGATTAAAATAGTATTCTGTTACTAAAATAGTTTTGAAAATTGAGTTCTAGCCAAAGAAGCAAGTTTTTAGAAAAGTATGAAAAAGTACAGCATTACAGATGACCATTAAATTTTATGACTTCTTATGCTATGGATATACACAATTTTATTTAAATTGTATTCATCACTTTTACAGCCTGTTTTTATCACTAACAACTTCCCATGTAAAGCTATATTACTCAATAACTAAAATTTGAATACATTATCTAATGAGAAATAACATAACTTATCAGGTTTGGATGGGGTAGGAAGTCAGCAGCTGGAGCTTTGAGCAAATTAGGGTGTGGCATCCGTTACTTATGCAACAGTAAACAGACCCTATTCCCTGGGCCCTACAGAGGTGCCACTCAAATTCAGACTTTGCTTCCTCTCTTCAGGTACGGTTCCAAGAGTCTGGCCTTGTAAGCTTCCCACGCTTGGTGCTCGACCACGTGCTTCCGGATGGCCTCCACTGAGGGGTAGGCACACACTGACGCCAAGGCTGTTCTCCTGGTTTCAGTGCCGGCTTCTGCTAGAAACACGGTTCTGGGAATAAAAATGCATTCTGCTCCCCCACTGATCTGAAACAGAGAATAAACACACAGATGTTCTGCTGTTCAAGAAACAAAGGAAACTCAGTGCAGGGTCAAACCTGGACCCCAACGCCTGCCCCGCCCCCGGGGCCTGATCAGCAGACATGGATGAGCACAGGAGGAGTGGGGACTGGCTGCTCTACCTGGAGAGCAGGGTGGTGACTGTGAAGTCATCGGGGAGCATCTAGTCCTGACATCACTTCTTACCAATGCCTGAAGAGACGGCAGAAGGGCTATGGAAGGATCACATAAGAAAATAGGAACCCCCCAAATGGAACAAACCACGCCCTGTTTATGTGTAAGACATGCCACAGTTACATGTGGCATGGCAGGTGGAGCCGTTTCCTGTGACTCCAGCATCCCATGTGGGCGCCAGTTTGAGTCCTGGCTGCTCTGCTTCCGATCCAGCTCCCTCCTAACATGCCTGGGAGGGAAGTAGAGGATGGCCCAAGTGTTTGGGCCCCTGCACCCATGTGGGAGATTCAGAGGAGGCTCCTGGCTTGGCCTGGCCCAGCCTTGGCCATTTGGGGAGTGGACCAGAGGATGGAAGACCTCTCTTTCTGTGTCTCCCACTTTCTCTGTAACTCAGCCTTTCAAATAAAAAAATAACAAATAAATCTTTTTTTAAAAAACCAGTAAAAAGCAAATAAAATCCCAAGGCAAATTTAAAAATTTTTTAATTCTGTTAAAAATGTTTCAAGGGGCCAATGCTGTGGTATAGCAGATAAAGCAGCCACCTACAGCACTTGCATCCCATATGGGCACTGGTTCAAGTCCTGGCTGCTACACTTCTGATCCAGTTCTCTGCTAATGTACCTGGGAAAGCAGTAAAAGACGGCCCAAGTGCTTGGGCCCCTGCACCCACATGAGAGACCCAGAAGAAGCTCCTGGCTTTGGATAGGCCCAGCTCCGGCTGTTGCAGCCATTTGGGAAGTGAATAGTGGATGGAACATACACCTTTCTCCCTCCCTCCCTCCCTCTCTCTCTCTCTCTCTCTCTCTCTTTCTCTCTCTATGCCTCTCTGTAACTCTGCCTTTCAAATAAATAAATACATATTTAAAGAAAATGTTTCAAAAATTCTGATTCCAAAGTGTTGTTCAATTTCCATGAGTCTCTTTGGATTTCTACATCGTAGGGTGCTGCTAGGAATACTCTGTCCGGTTTGTGAGCTCAGCATTAACCAAGCAGACCTAAAATACGGCTTTTCAGCAAAGGATTCAGAGAACACTTCAGGAAAAAGATGTTTTCTTACCAGACACAGTTGAAGATCACATGACTTGTCCAGTGTTTCTACTAAACCCTACAATTTTAAGAGAACCCAAGTTACTAAATATCAAAGGTACCTTTTATCAATTAAACTAAGAGACCAGAAAAATCAGAGTCACTGATTTTTTTTATTAATTTCACTGTAGCAGTGGGCCTACATGTGACTCCTAAGCTGTCAAATGAGATGCCTACAAACTATGCCATGTATTCTAAATCCGCATAAAGTTAGAATAGAATACAAGGGGACTTCACTTAAAAAATTCATGGAAAATGCATGGATTCCAAAAAATATTGCACCAAAATAAACTTATCTTTTAATTCCATGTTCATGAATATCTGAAAGTCCCCTCATAGTCGCAAGGAATAAGCTACAATACCAATTAAAGCATCACTTAATATATGGAAGGATGAGCTGGCGCCACGGCTCAGTAGGCTAATCCTCCGCCTTGTAGCGCCGGCACACCGGGTTCTAGTCCTGGTCGGGGCACCGGATTCTGTCCCGGTTGCCCCTCTTCCATGCCAGCTCTCTGCTGTGGCCAGGGAGTGCAGTGGAGGATGGCCCAAGTCCTTGGGCTCTGCACCCCATGGGAGACCAGGAGAAGCACCTGGCTCCTGGCTTCGGATCAGCGCGGTGCACCGGCCGCGGTGGCCATTGGAGGGTAAACCAACGGCAAAAGGAAGACCTTTCTCTCTGTCTCTCTCTCTCTCACTGTCCACTCTGTCTGTCAAAAATAAAAAAAAAAATATGGAAGGATGATAACCTATTCTGTTAAGAAATATGTCCTGATGGCAAAAGTGAAGGATTAGTAACTTTTGGGATGGTGGGACCTGTGCTGGGATGTGCAGGGTGGAGGTGGCCTTGCTCAGGAAGGCGGATGAATTCCCACTTACTCAGCAACTGGTGCGCATGAGTGCTGGCTTCCACCTCACACATGACTATCACTCCTTAATTCATGAGATAAATCTGTACATTTTTCTTAAGTTCTGAAACTCAGAACTGGTCAGTTCATTAATAAATATTCAACACTGAGCTTTCACTTCCTTACAGGAAAGCAAACATACAACAAAAAGCTCATAATAATTATCTCTCTTCCTTCCATAAAAGATCTCAACTGCTGGTGGCACATATAATACACATGTCATATTCCCTGTTTTGAAGATAGGTCTTATTCTTATTTAAGTTTACGCACATCATCACAGCTTATTTGTTTTCATATTCTTTGCCTCTTCATGGGAAAACCTTGACATTGCTATAAGAAAAGGAGTTTTGGAATCAAATCTTAGTTCTGCAACTTACTATGCAAGGGACATGAGGTCACTGAATCCTTAACTTCTGGGGCCCAGTATTTTGTTTGAGAATTTGTGAAAGGGGGTAGTAGTTACACAGTCATTGCAAAGGTCGAATGAGAAAACACGAAATTCCTTGTATAATTCCCCTATATTAATTCCTCAGTAAATGGGAACCTCCTCTTTTCGTATGCAGGAGACAGCATCCCTTATCTGAAGGTTGATATTTAGGCTATGAGAGCATATGCGAAAATTCATTAAAATGATTTTGACCACATAGATGCAAAGTAAAGGTTAAATACAGTATGTATCAGACTTCTACAGCAGCTCTGAGAGGACTGCAGAATTTAATCTTTGTCTCACTGCTCCAGAGCTCATCAAGAGCAGAGTCAGTCTAAAGGCCAGAGGCGGCCAAAAGAGCACCATTTCTGCATCTCTGTCGGAGCCTCAGGTGTTAGGATGCAGCGAAGTGACAACACGCAAAGGCCACAGTCAGTCACCTCACTCCCTCGGCGACCACTGTAGTTGTAGGAAAAGGCATTTCTTACTTGAGGTCTGCGGTGAGTGGTGACAAGCCACCTGAGTTTCTGAAAAGCATTTTACAGAGATCCGCCTGGTGAACATGATGAGCAGTCAGCAGACACTTACCGAGGATGGTGACCCTATGCTATGGGAAAGGTGTGTGAGATGTGGTCTTTGCCTTCAAGAACCCCTCTCTTTAGGAAGGTGACACCTGCTCTTTGCATTGATCAAACTGCATTTTGAAAATTACAAGGATCTTTCTTTTTGAACGAGTTAAACTCACGTAAGGAAGGACCCGATCTGTTTTGCATACTCAATGTGCACCAGGCAGGAGGGGAGATACATTATTTCAGTTCATGTTCACATCAGTGCAGTGAAGTGGATACAGTTTCCGTTTTGGAGGTGAGGAGACAGAGGCTCACACAGGTGAGGTGACTTGGATCAGGTCATAGACCCAGGGAGTGACAGTTACGACAAGGCATCACAGATACCTCTGGATCCAGTATCCTGCTACTTTCACTACCACTGGGCTGACAGTGAGAATGGAAGGGCAGAAATCCTGTGCAGCCTATACTGAAGGGAGCATCTGCACACTTCTGTAATTTCTTGGCTATGGATGGTATTAATACCATTACATTATTAACAAAACTGTAGGGATCCCTGCCTGAATTTTAATGAAATCTTTCATAAATGAGATAAGGTGGGAGCATGAGGAAACAGAAATCCAATTAAGTCTATCACAAGAATCAGATTAGTTTCATCCACCTATTTAAGAGGACTCAGCTCAGTAATTTAGATAAATATACAACTGTCTGTTACACACAATGTTTTAAATGTTGGCATTTTAAGTTTAGAAGGCACCACTGTGGAGCAGGAAAAGCATCAGGTGTGCCCCAGACTACTGGGGTCTGAGCTTGGGAAACCCACCTAATCACCTTTCATGCTGCAGGGATATTAATAGCTGCCCTACCCGACCCAGCCCTCCACTCGCTCATCCGCCCCACACCCATGCAGCCACCTGTGCAGTCAGGAAGTTATTCATTGCACACACTCTCAGCATCTACAAGCACCAGTCACTTGAGACATGTTACAGTTCAACTAGGCTGACTCTGCCCTCGAGGGGCCCGCAAGGGAAGACAGACATGGATATAAAAACAACGCTGTAAAACACAGTGGGTGCTTCCGAGGAAACCTGTCGTGCTCACAGAGGGAAGTGGAGCGGGAGGCCAGCTCCCTGACTCCAGGGCAGGGGGGCAAGACGGGCACCACACAAACAGCGACGCTTGAGCCCAGTCTCGGGGAGTGTGCATAATTCTTTCAGGGAGTCTGGGGTGCTATCTGGACACATGTTCCAGCTGGAAGGAAACACACATAGAAGCCCACAGGCGTGATGTGGCGTGGTGGTCAGCACCCCGCAGCTGGGCTGCAATGCAGGAGCAGAGAGAGGAAGACGCAGCTAGAGACGGGGCTCTGTGGAGGCTTCGCCAGGCTGAGGAGGCTGCGCTTTACTCTGGGCACGTCGGGAACCATGAAACACCGAGTCAGAGCAAAACGCTCAGACCGTCATTTGAGAAAGACTACTGGCTGCAGGGGGAAATCAGGAGAGACAACACACGAAGACAAACTGCAGATCTCTACAAAAATCTATCGATGCTTGCTTCTATTCCGAGTTTAATATGAGACATGATTTACTAGATTATAGTCCATGTGTGACTGTAAAACACAAATCTATTTTGTTCTATTTGCTCATTTAAATAAACCTATGAAACATAAACTGTTGTTCTCCAATAAGAAATAATTGTAGGCTGGCCCTGCGGCTCACTTGGCTAATCCTCCGCCTGCGGTGCCAGAACCCCGGGTTCTAGTCCTTGTTGGGGCGCTGGATTCTGTCCCAGTTGCTCCTCTTCTAGTCCAGTTCTCTGCTATGGCCTGGGAAGGCAGTGGAAGCTGGCCCAAGTGCTTGGGCCCTGCACTCACATGGGAGACCAGGAGGAAGTGCCTGGCTCCTGGCTTCAGATCGGCGCAGCACACTGGCCGTAGTGGCCATTTGGGGGTGAACCAACGGCAAAGGAAGACCTTTCTCTCTCTCTCTCTCTCTCTCTCCCCCTCCCTCTCTCCCTCTCTCCCTAACTCTGCTGTCAAAAAAGAAAGAAAGAAAGAAAGAAAGAAAGAAAGAAAGAAAGAAAGAAAGAAAGAAAGAAAGAAAGAAAGAAAGAAAGAAAGAAATTGTAATTATAAAGGAAACTCACAAAAATTCCACCTTGTTCCAGGACTCTTATCTCAACAAAACATGTTGCTGGTGAAGATCTCTAAAAAGAATAAATCAAAATGTTGATGACATTAGACAATAACAAGGGAACAAGATTTAAGGAAACTGGAACACTTGTGCAAAACTGTCAGAATGCAAAATGGTAGAGCTACTGTGGACAGCAGCGTGACAGTGCCTCAAAAAAAAATTAAACCACATGATCCAGCAATTCCACTTTGGGACATACATGCAAAGAGTTGAAAGCAGTAACCTGGAGAGATGTTTGTATATCCACATTCATGTCAGCATTATTCACAATAGCCAGAAGCTAGAAGCAACCCGGGCGTCCATCGATGGATGTGTGGATAAGCAAAATGCATATGTACATGATGCAACACCATTTGGCCTTAAAAATAAAGACTTTCTGACACACCGTTGACTCTTGAGGGCATTTCGTGAAGTCAATTAAGCCAGTCACAAGGAGACAACATCTGATTCCACTTTTATGACCATCTAGTGTGGTCAAATTCATAGAACGGAAAGCAGATGGTGGTCACGCATCCCTGGACTCCTGTATCCTTGGGGAGTCCTGTATCCGATTCTGCACAGCTACAGAGCAACAACTGCACTCTCAAGTTGTGGCAGCAAAGCTTTGGGCGCCTCAGGTAGAGACAACGTCATAATATCTAACTATCATTTTAAATCCTGCCTGTTGAAGCTTGAAGCCTAAATGTGTAATTTCCTGACTGAATGCTATGCTTTAGAGTTTTTTTAAGATAATGCACTACACCCATATCAAATAAATTAAACAAAAATATACATTTTCTTCATTAGCCAGCCTAGGATAACTTTGGCTACAAAGCTAGATTTAATTAGTCAGTAAGGGGTCGCACTCATCAGCTAACATTTCTTTCTTTGTGCCAGGCAATGTTCTCAGTGCTTTGTATAATTAATTTTGTTTAAGGAAATGGAATAAACATTCTTACATATTTAGGATATGCAAATTATTTTAAATCAACTTTAAAATGTCAGTTAATCTAATTCAGCTACCCAAGAGAGAATTCCTCAGAATCCCAAGTTTCAGTCTTGATCCTTCCATCATGATGAAAATACCAAGCTCACAACACTCAGCACAGGGTAACAGTTCATCTGTGCACAGCCTGAGAGCCCGCAAAGGTGCCTGTCTGCAATCGTGATACAGAGATAAAGGGCGCGGGCTTTATCGTGCAGTGAATGTGGAGACAAAGAGAGCCTTGAGTTATACAGGCCAGAAGCAAGTCAGTGGGGAATCCTCCCAGCTATCAGACATGTTAAACTGTAAGCTGAAGACTGATCAGTCTCCTCGTCAAAATGGAACTCCTACTTTGTCAGAGACATGCCTGGGCTTTGCGTGTACACGCATGAGAGCATGAACACATCATACTTTTTACATGGGAGTCATAGCAATAGAAATCTTTACTGTTTCTATGAATTCAGGGTACAAAGTATTAGCCACACTACGAACAGTGAGCGTTTTCTGTGAGCAGAATCACTCACCTCTGCATTCCAGCACACCAGATCAGAACTTGGCACGTGTGACACATATTGCAGGGTGGTGATTCCAGGTGAATGCGCTTGCAAAGTCTTTTTTCTCAAAAGCCATCACTAAAAAAAGCCTGATCTGTCCCCAGGAAGCAATTCTGCTGACTCACTCAGTGAGTCATAAAATCATTATGTCTTAGGGATGATATAGACTTCAAATAACAGTCTGATGGGGTTTTCTCTCATATATTTTAAGTATCAAGATGCTATTTTTCAAATAAAAGCTTATGTTAGGAAATGCAGTAAAAACTCTTAGTGACTGATACCATGACAAAGGTAGAGAAAAATAAGCTGAGTAATACACAAATATGAAACCAATAAGAAACTGTCATGAGCTCAATTGAAAGATTCAGTGTGAACTCATAACCTTGGACACATTCTCTTCTGTTTCTGTTCACAGTGGCTCATACTCAAAGCACTGGGGTGGGCAAAGACTTCTTGTACAGAACACAAAAAGATGATCATAAAAATGAAAAGTAATTGCGTCTCATCAGGATTAGAAACTTCTATTCATCAACAGATATCAGGAGTTTGTAGGGTGGAAAGATAAGTCACGGACCAACAGACACAATAAAGGACAAATCAATACTAAAACAAACAACATACTATATTTTTAAGTGAGCAAAAGATGTGTGCAGGCATTTCACAAAAGAGATCCATGAACAAATGAAAGCATCGAAAGGTGCTCAACACTGTTAGTCATCAGAAAAAAATGCAGATTAAAACTTCAACAAGATGCTACCTTGTACCCATCATAGGAAGCTAAACTGGAAAGATTAATAATTAATAATATCGAATGTTGGTAAGATACAGAGCAACAAGAGTTTCTCATGGCTTGCTGGTGGGAGTATAAAACTGTAGAACCTACTAAAACCTACCTGGCAATTTCTTTGAAAGTTCAACCCCTGGCTGCCCTACAAGTCAAGAATTTCATTCCTAATTTTTTAAAAAATTCTTATTAACAATAGTGTATACAAGGATACTTCCAAAAGCGCATGGGAAGAGGAACGAAAAGGTAAGTTTATTTTGATGTCAGGCCCTGCACACGCTGTTGCATGTCTGGCTTTTTCCACATAGTGTCCTGGAGACGTGTTCTGGTAGAGAAAGCAGGCAGACAGGACCCGCAGTCTGGTACAGAGGAGGGGGCGAAGGGGGTCCTGAACACACATTCTCATCCATCCACTCATTCATTTTCTCATGGTTTTCTTGCCGGCACCATCTGAAAACGACTTCTCTGTCTGGCTCATCTTCATCTGAGCCCGGAGGCGAGTGACATGCAGGAGGCTGGGTCCCCTAAGGGGCACGGGGATCTGCCGGGGCTGCTGTGCCAAAGTGCCGTCAACCTCAGCACTTCTCCTCTCCAGGTCTGGAGGCCAGAATCCACAGAAAGGTGTCACGGGGCTGCCGCTCTGGGGAGGCCCGGGAGAGGACCGCTCCAGCTCTGCAGCCAGCAATTCTGCTGCTCCTCAAACCCTCTCTGGCGTCACAGAGGCCTCGCCCGACCGCTGCTGCCATGTGCCCCGGCACACTCCCTGTATGCTTCTCTGGGCCACACCAGTCACTAGAAATGCACTCGTAACACCTCTGATGAAACACTGATCACTTACATTCAGCAAGAGAACAACTGAGATTTGCCATCAATCCAGAAAGCTGGTTAGAATCAGACACATCCCACACTTGGGGATCATGGGGACCATCTTCATGTCCCTCGTGCTGCTGTAGACACAGCTGTGGGCGGGGGGTTGGACACACGGAGCCGAGTCCTCCCTGTGACCCTCACTCCTCTCTGTGGGCCTCTGCCATCTGGGCCACCACTGCTCTTCCTCCGGCCTCCAAATTCCAGACGAGGCTCTGGGCCTTCTATTCCATGGCCCTGCTCTGCGCTATGCTTCTTTCCCCACGTATACTGTGGCAACAAAGAGCTGCTGCCCGATGACCACATGTGGAGCACCTATGTCACTGACGCAGGTACCTGGGAATAGAAGGCGTTCAGCACTGCCCTCCCGAGAAGACGGGGGGCCTGGGGAGGCGGGCATCATAAACCACGCACGTCAGCAGTTGCCCGAGTTACTTCAGGTAGGGAGGGGTCTTCAGATTAGGCCCACAGACGTGAGGGTCTTCATGGATGAATTTCAGGGGTCCTCCACAAAGCCTGGTGCGAACACATGTAGACATGTTCGTTTTTTCTGTTGCGAGGAGTCTCAAGCTTTCATCAAATTCTCAAAGGAACCTATTTTGTTCAGACAAATCCTCAGATGCGGGCACAATGGCTGGCATATGAAACACTCTGTAAACATCTGCCGACTCTGTGTTTCACATGCTCCACCAAGAAAAAGTTAATAACCACTAAAATTGAATACAAGGGTACATCAAAAAGTTCTCAGGAAAAATTGAAAGAAACCATGTTTATTTTGGGCACCAAAATTTTTGAAATCCATGCACTGTTTTTTCATAAAAGATGTTTTCTAAGAGCATTTTGAAGTACCCTTGGGGAGCCATTCTCTGGGGAATAATCCTCACTATTTCCTGCCTCCATAATGCTCTACCTATAAGGAGCCTTTTGCCAACCTCTTGCTCCAAGTCCTGAATGAATCACACAATTCTGTGCCTGTCTATTAAACCAATTAAGAAAGATTCTGAAATCACAATTTCATCTCCTTTAGGAAATCATCCATCTTCTTAATTTAACTTTACCACCCTATTTAATTAACAAAGATTTAATGACAGTTAATAAATGATATATTAATTAATTAAAGAAGTGACTGTTTTGTCCTGAAGGTAATCCAAAATCTTAAAGGCTTGTAATTTTCATCTATCAAAACTCAAAATCCAATTAAACCGAAGTTACCTTACTTTACTGTTGGTCTAAGTACCAGAGAGAATTTCTAATATGTCCAGAATATGTGCTGGTATATGACTATGGAAACTCTGACCTTGAGAAATCAGGGAAATGCCTTGTGTACAAGGCATGTGTACAGCCAGACCTCAACAAGTTCGTGGGAAAATAGAAATAAAAGTTAAGCTTCTCTTGGTGCCCCCAAGTTTTGAAATCCATGCATAGTATTTATAATATGCATTTTCCGTGGACTTTCTGAAGCACCCTCATATTGTGAACAGACAGCAACATCACCACAAACTGTCTAGTCCATGAATCGAAAAGAAACAGCTGATGCTTACTCAGTGGAAACCTCTTTGAGCAGGGTACCAACTACCTTGAGCACAGCTGATAGGAATCTGTCCGTCAGTGGAGGGCACCAAGCCAATTACCAATGTAGATATAAAATACAACTGTCTGTAGTTCTCCTGGTAATTTGTTCCCAAGAACATGCAAATCTGGACGCAGCCCAGACGTGCATGGGTGGGGCCTCACAACAGAAGTGTGCTGCCTGCAGGAAGCAGGCCAGGCCATTTGTGGCACGGATGTGTTCAACAAGAAACTGCACTGGAAAAAAACTCAAAAATGTTATTTGGAAATAATTTCTACTCTTCATAAATACAGACGCTGATCTCCTTTGCTGATGAACAGTAAAAGCTCTCTTCCTTACAAGGCTGGACTTAGACGTGTGCGCCACGTCCCAGGACGGACTAGCCGCTTAGCAGATTCTTGAGGACAAAAGTAAACAGAATCAAGAGCATTAAATACAATCAAGGAAGAGCCTATTAAGCCCTGCCATTTATCTCATCCAGTTCATGAGTCTACTTTGTGTCACTGGGAAAGAAGGGCTTTCTCAAACTAAACATTTCTTGAAAAAAGAGTCATCAGTTGGACATGTAGGCACCCCCAAGACCTAAAAGAAGTGAGCACGGGGTAAGGAGTGCTCCCTTGGTGAGCCAGGACAAGAGGGACGATTCTAGCTCGTTTCTCTGTGCTCTCTTGAAAAATGACTCTCAATGTTTTACAGAGAGACAAACCTCTGATCCAGATTTCGACGGGAAATCACCCTTAGTCAGCTTATCTCACCTGCAGCCGAGGCTCCTGTGTGCTGAGTGTCGTTCTAGTGGCTGAGGGGGAAGTCTCGCGAGACACTGCGGATGCTTTCAGAAGAGCAGATCGTTGTGTTACAGATTGTATTTCAAACATACGCACACCATAACCCATTCATTACATGGAACACAATGCTTTTTTAAAAAAAATGTTTTCATGAGAACACACACACACACACACACATAGAGCTCCCATCTGCTGGTTCACTCTCCCAAATGCCCAAAACAGCCGGGCCTCGCTGGACCAATCCAGGTCTCCAATGTGCATGGCAGGAAGCCGACTCCTGAGCCACCATCACTGCCTCCCGGCATCTGCGCTAGCAGCATGCTGGAACCCAGAGGTGAAGCTAGGCCTCCATCCCAGGTACTCAGGACGGGACATCAGTATCCCAGCCGGTGCCTTAACCAGCCCCAGTAGGCACTTCTTAAAACAAAAGTCTAGAAGGATATCTAATGAACAAAGAAACGTTCATTTAATTTTTCTTCTTTTTATGGGAAATCCACTTCAATATTTTACATTTTTATATCAAAAATTATTCAGTATAATTAATAAAAATAAACATAAGGCCTAGAATTGGCAGATTGCAGCTCAGAAATAAATTTCAGTGTTTATGCAGCATCATTCTACAGAAATGCTCTTACCTTCTAACACAGCAGTTACCCCAGCAGGTCGTCTTGGCAGAACCCCAGTGTGGACATTTTTCAGGGCAGAGGAACCTGTCTTCTTCATCTGCCAGGCATGCACTGCTTTCTCACGCTCCATCTGAGCAACCACCAGACAGTGGCCCTGAAGGAAGACTGAGAAACTGAGTACCTGGAGGAACCCGGAGTCCTAAATGGATCATCTTACCTCTTAACATGTGCTGACGATTTAACTTAAAATTCCAAAGACAACTGGGAACTGCTATTGACTGGCCATGCTACTGACGCCTCTCATATCACGGGGCAATCTGTGGGCCGAAGCTCCCTAGTCCTAGAGCTGACTGCAGATGCAAGTGTGGCCACAGAGGACACACAGCCTCCGCATCTGTGGCTCTGTATATTCAGGGAAAACTCATAACTGCAGAGAAGATGCACAGATTTTATCAGTATCATTATTCCCTAATCAATAAGTAAACAATAATTTACGTAGCATTTACATTGTGTTAGGTACACTAAGTAGTTGGGAGATGGCATGATGGGCATAGGTCATATGCAAATACTGTGTTATTTTACATACGTCTGGGATTCAGGCATCTGCAGATTTTGGTTGGGGTTCCTGGACCCAAGCACTCACGGGTACTGAGGGATGACTCTCTGCAAGACTTTTAACTGAGAAAGTTAATGCTTTGATTATGTACTTACAGATATGACAAATACAAGGAAACAAGAGTTCAAATTATCAGAGATAATGGTTGGGCCAGCCCTGAAAGAAAAATGGGAGGGTGGGAGGACAGATTCAGGTCCCATTGAATACAATGTATTTATTCAACAAAAATATTTAGTGAGACTGTTATGGGCTAAAGATAAAATGAACAAGGCAGAGACAGACCCTTCCTTGTGGAGTTTTTATGTGTTTATCCACTATTAGTAATTCTTGAGCATCTTCTATGAGCCAATGTTGTAGATTTGGGGCTGAAAGTGAAATGGCTCATGGTGTCTAGTCTTGAAAACCATCAGTATATTTTATCTGTGCTCTAACTGGAAACATGGAAGAAACACACTACCAAAAACGTGAGGCAGACAACTACAAGATACTGTTTAGGTAAACGAGCAGTGATGTAGAAAGAATAATTTGAAGCAAGCTTGCCAAGCAGATGAAGCATGATGTTGGTGCTCCAGTTCCATTATGATATGCAAGGAAACTTAAAAGTGTTTGTGGAAAACTGTATTAGAAAGTATGTATATTTTTGCACAAAAATGATATTGATATTTATGAATAATTTCTTTCATGATATGGATTTTCCATGAACTTTTTGAAGACCCTTGTATTTCCTTCCTTCCAAGTATCTTTGAGGCCCCTTGCTCCTACTTGAAGTATCCCCTCTCCCAAGTGATATTCACCATGCATGTTCTCAGGGGTAACCTAAATCCTAATCACTAAGTTGGTAAACTAATCTCTATTAAATTGTCACGAGAGTCCAGCTCTCTGCTATGGCTCGGGAAGGCAGTGGAGGATGGCCCAAGTGCTTGGGCCCTGCACCCCATGGGAGACCAGGAGGAAGCACCTAGCTCCTGGCTTCAGATTGGCGCAGCGCGCCAGCCATAGCAGCCATTTGGTGGGGCGAACCAACAGAAAAGGAAGACCTTTCTCTCTGTCTCTCTCTCTCACTGTCTAACTCTGCCTGTCAAAAATAAATAAACAAATAAAAATAAAAATAAAAAAATTGTCATGAGAGACAATTTAGGGTTATTCTCCTAAATAAAAACACCTATGAATTATAACATCACCTTGTAGAGGCACAAAGACCTGGAATAACAGCAATTCCTTACCATTGAATTGCGCTATTAATTTAAGTACAGACATCAATGTGAGGCATTCCGAGTTAAAACACTAAAGGGTTATGAAGATGAATAAGATGCTAACCTTCTCCATAGGTACCTCACCAGCTACTAAGGGAGAAATCAATACACAAGCCACTTTGATCAAAGCAGTGGACAACAAGGACAGGACAGCGTGGCTGGGCCCTCACCCACACCAGCTATCATCACACACCCTCACGGCTGAGCCACTGTAAAACTGATGATAATGGGTCTTTGTAGGCTCACTTGCTGTCAAGCTCCCTTAATGAAACTGAGCCCAGGTCTCCCCAGGGAGGTGAGTGAGGCAGGCCGACTCCAGCATTAACGTAGGAGGAGAGCAAGGGTGTTAACCAGATCCCCAAGGGACAGGTGAGCCTCTAGGAAGAGGACACAGAGCTCTGAGGCCCAGCATCTCTCTTCTTTCATTACCTTGGAGGGTCTAGTTCCAATCCTTCAAGAGCTGGGAGACTGGGGATGGTGCTGTGGCACAGCAGGTTAAGCCTCCACCTGCAACGCCAGCATCCCATATGGGTGCTGGTTTGAGACCCAGCTGTTCCACTTTGATCCAGCTCCCTGATAATGTGCTGAGAAAGCACTGGAAGATGACCCAAGTCCCTGGGCCCTTGTACCCACATGGGAGACCCGGAAGAAGCTCTGGGCTCCTGGCTTTGGCCTGGCCCAGCCCCAGCTGTTGAGGCCATTTGGGAAGTCAACTAGCAGATGGAAGATCTCTGTCTCTCCTCTTCTTTCTGTAACTCTGCCTTTCAAATACTTTTTATTTTTTTACATCTTAAAAAAAAAAAGAGTTGTCAGATTTCCCTAAATTTGTACACAACTTTTCAGAGTTAGGAGGGCAGCTGGCGAAAGGTTATTGTCCCATCTCACCAAGTAGGAAGACTCTCAAATGATGTTGATCTTTATGGTTTGATGAATACAGGCACTTCAAGTCAGGTTAGAGGGGGACAGTGCCTTGGCAAGCAACAAGGACCCCTCTACTCCTCTCCCAAGTCACACTCAGCTCTGGAGGCTTAGACCAAGAATCAGGTCTCAAAACTGACCTACAGGTGCCCAGTGCATCCTCGAGCCTCCGAGACCTTCCCTCTTGTATTCTCACTTCTGTGACATTAGCTCAGGTTTCTCACGCTCCCCATGTTACAATAATGTTCTGGTATAAATATGATGACAACACATCCTCTCTCAGCCAAGTCCCTAGAATAATCCTTCAATACCATCATACTCTCACTTGCAAGGGGTCTTCAAAAAGTTGGTGGAAATGTTTATTACAAAAAAAAAAAAACAACTATGCACGGATTAAGGAAATTTTGCACTGAAATAAACTGATCTTTCAATTCCACTTTCCCACAAACGTTCAGAAGTACCCTGCACATGCCTAAGGGTAGTTCTCTTCTCAGGACTTTATGAGGCTGAGTCTAAAGTTTTGAGAGCTTCCACCTGCCTCTTCTCTCTTAAGAGAATTGCTGCATCTTGTGCACTACACACACTCTGCACCTCAAACCCAGAACCACTAACTCCACCAATCAACGCTGGCTTACACTTATTTGTTTAGGAAACCTCCCGCCACTGACCCTATTCCCCGTTCACATCTGAACCAACCTCTCTAACTAATTTGGATTAATATTGCTTTGCCTGTTAATTTGCTTTATAGATTTACTTACTTACTTTAAAGTGCAATTCTGATGTTTCCTGAGTTATACCTTAACTTTTAAGGAGCTTTAAATCTCCCTGAAATAAAAACCAGGCTTTCCCTTATTGTTGCTGCTGTTGTTGTTGTTATTATTTTGCTTTATTCAACCCATCTCCCCAGTCTCCAGAACAATATATTTTAAGCTTTGGATTTCTTTCAGAAAACCAGTATAGTAAGTCTCCTATCAACAACTGCTAACAAAAGAAACTGAAAACACCCAAGAGCCTCACCCATAGGAAGGGCACGATTCTTTCTGAAAGTCTGACACCATTAGGAATATATGTCGGGCCATGATATTGATATATATTGCTTGTATATGATTGTGGTCAGAAAAGCTTGGGAAACATGACTTGGGATTGAATGAATATCTGCCTAAAGCAAGAAAGCTACCTTTTGCAAATTTTAAAATGTTTTGTTATTTTCTTATTTTTACTTTATTTGGGGGGAGGGCGAGAAATATCTTCTGATTGCTGGTTCACTCCCCAAAATCCTGCAACAGCCAAAGCTGGGCCAGGCCAAAACCAGGAGCCTGAAATTCCATGTGAGCCTCTCATGTGCATGGCAGGGACCCAAGTATTTGAGCCATTGTCTGCGGCATCTAGGGCGTGCAGCAACAGAAGTTGGGTCAGAAGCAGAATGTGCAGGAATCTAACCAGGCATTCCAGTGTGGGATGCAGAAGTCCCAAGCGGTGACTTCACTGCTGTGCCAAACACCTTCCCTGCCTTGCAGATTTATTCGGCTCTGCCTAGCATTTGCTCCCAGACTCCTAGATTATTTCCCTCAGACAAGCAGTCACCTAATGTCTTCCTGACTAGACCTCGTCTGCTCTGGGATCACAGGCTGACCCCACGTCTCCAAGTCCACCACCCACACTGTACCAGCTGCAACCTTGCCTTAAGGAAAAGCCCTCAGGTGATGATGGCAGAACCCCTGATGTACATAATGGTTTCTTACGCTCTTCGGCAGAACAGAGTCCAATATCTTCTTTCTGAGTTAAAGCATTCAGTCCCTTGCTAACTGACTTTATTATATAATGGAAGAGAAAAGATCAAGGAAATTAACATTTCTTGGAGCTTCCACGGGAGTGAAACTATAATTCATGGAGGAGCACTTATACTTATAATTGTAGATTACTAACTTATATAATTTTGAAAATAGAGCAGCAAAATTCAGCATTTTTAAGAACTAAGTCCTGTGAGAAAAGTTCTAATTACTAGTTATTATCTGAGATGATAGTTGTTATAATAAAAAATACCATTTCAAAGGTCAGTTGTAATGAAAACTAAACTATACTGAATTTACAGTTTTTCTTATTCTTGCTTCATGCATAGATATAAGTTGAAAATTAGAGTAAATGTATGTAAGATTTTTCAAAAACTTAAAAAAATTATAATTTATTATTTTATTTCTTTGAGAGGCAGAGAAAGAGAGAGGGACTGAGACAGAGAACTGTCTTCTACTAGTTCACTCCCCTAAAGTACTTAGGAGCCAGAAACTCAGTCCAAGTTTCCCACGTGGGTAGCAGGAACCCAGCTACCTGTACTGCCTCCCATGGTGTGCATTAACAGGAGGCTGGAATCAGAAGAGCAGGGACTTGAACTGAGGCAATCCAAAATGTGATGCGTGGATCCCAACCAGAATCTTTTGCTAGATCAAAAACATCTTAAACTTTCCTAATGCAGATGTTTTGCTTTAAAAATGGTGTTTGACTCCTGACTCCACTTCTGATTCCAGCTTCCTGGCTTCAGAATGGCCTAGCCCAGGCTGTTGCAGGCATCTGGGGAGTGAACCAGCAGCCAGGAGATCTCGGTCTGTCCTTCTCTCTCTCCTTCTTTCTCTCTCTCTCTCTCTCTCTCTGCCTTTCAAATAAATAAAAATAAATAAATAAAAATGGCCTAGAAAGGACTTTCCTTATAATTACTTTGGTCAAAGTATAGAAATTAGGTAGTGATTTCGGAACATCTATAGCTTTCTGTGTTGCCATGGTAATAACCTACATTTCCACATGTTTGTAGTCATAACATTCTATCCACAGTGTTCCCTGGAGCCATGAGTGATTATGTCGGTGCCACTGGTTACTCCCACAACATTTGGAAAATGATGGGTCATTTCCTTGTTTGCTGCCGCTAGCCAATAGAGGAGAAAGCCACATAAAAAGGAGGTTTCCTTTACAGAGACAGCTGTCACTTGATGAAAAACCTACCAGAGATTCATTTGCTTAGCTATTATTTACAAAGTAGAGTGAATTCACACAGGCTGCACAGAAGTCCCCGGCATACAAGCCTTTACGGCCTCGGTGCAGAAGCCCCTAAACCTGAAAAGAGGCTCAGAGAAGAGCTCCCAAGGCAGCGATGGAGCTGCAGTTCTTTGATAAGACCACAGCACCATCGAGACTACACTGCTGCCTGATTCCTCCAGACTAACAGTGCTGAGCAACGGTGACTGTGTGCACAGATGAGGGAAGAGCGGCTGAGTCATGAACGCGGGAACCCTGCTGCGGCCGAGCGGGTCCCCACACGTCCCAGAGCTGAACTGGCCCTAAGCCAAAGCTTGGCCCCACTCACGTCCCAGAGCTGAACTGGCCCTAAGCCAAAGCTCTGGTCCCCACTCACATCCCAGAGCTGAGCTGGCCCTAAGCCAAAGCTTGGCCCCACTCAAGTCCCAGAGCTGAGCTGGCCCTAAGCCAAAGCTCTGGCCCCACTGGGGTCTGCCTTCCAGCCTGGAAGACAGTGCCAGGCACAAGGGACATGGCAAGGACCTAGTAAATGTTTTTAACTTGGCTTCACCTTATAGTCCTGTATTTATTCTCCTCTCATTACCACTTTCTCCTCCTTCTCTAGGTTTCCTTTATGGACTAAGGAGAGATATAAATAAGTAATTAAATGTTGTTGAGGAAGAAAAAGAAGAATGTAACTAGCAAGGGTCCTAAGGGACTTACAAACAAGGTACTACGGGTTTGATGGACACGGCAGTCACACGGACGGAGTAATTGGGAGAGGTTGCGTGGGACACGTGACTGACACGGTTCCAAGCAGCAGGTAGGAGCGTGAGGCGCAGAGGGCGTTCTGAAAGGTGAAGACAGCCAAGAGTTCCAATTCATTTCACACACTTCGCTCAGGTGTTTACTAACTGCCTCTGAAATAGGAACTTAGGGTACAAAATATAACAATATAACCTGTAGTATCGGCGTAGGGAACAATCAACCAGAAAGTCTATCTTCCCTTTTGGCCATGAAGAGAATAATGGGAGATTCCTGTTGAGAGAGGAAAACAAATTTAGCAGCATTTAGAAACTTCTCCAGACTGCCACCTGAATTCTTTAAAAGTAGCTGTAATTCCTGTTGTTCATTCTACAAAGTCAAAATGCATTACTTCCTAGTTTATTCAATACCTACTCTTGGCCCAACAAAACCCACTAATCACTTCCTCCCCTCTTACTCCAGCCCCTCCCTCTCCCCACCCCACCCCTGCCACCTGCCTACTCTAACCTCACCTGGTGGAAAGGATCAGCTTCCAGAATCCTCCCAGGCTGCTGAGGACCAAGGCTGTCCTGTGGGAAGGGTCTCCTGGGCTCCCCAGCTTTGCCCAGATCCTTCCAATTCTCCTTCCCCTTGTGGGCGTCTGGCACATGCTCACCCCCACCCCGACTCTACTGGACTCAGGAGGTGACCGACACCCAGCCCCGGAGCATCTGGACCCACAGAAAGCATGCCTGTGCAGCCCCCTGTGAGTTCTAGTGTGCTGGGGACCTGCCCTGTGCCACAGCGGCTGTCACCCACTAACAACACCCTTCTCAGAAGAGACGCAGCCTGCTCCTCACTCACAAGGGTGCACCTCCGTCCAGGGCTTCGTCCGGCCATTAAGACAAAGACTTCACTGTTTGCATCAGGAGGGCTGGGGAGCTGGACCACCACACCCTCCTGTGGCCCAGTGCCTGACTCAGTGCAATCCTCGGGATCTCTTCCGGTTTTCCACAACTGCTACAGCCCTGCTTCAAACAGTTCCTCTTCCTGTAGCCCGAATTCCCACTTGGAGAAAGTGACAGTCTCCTTTCGCAAGGCTGTCTCTTGCTTCCAGGATCCTTTCCTGTTTTACTTCCACAGCCCCCTGAATCCAAAAATCACTGCTTCGCAGCCTTGCCCTGCCTGGTGAGTGAGAGAACTTGAATCCTGACATCAGACTGGGCTGAATTAAAGCTGTGTTTCCTAAACTCACCTAGTTATCAAGAGTCAACGGAGCACTAGTGGGAAACACCACCCCCAGCACTGCTCCTAAAGACCGCTGCAGGAGACCTGGGGCAGGGCCTGGCAGCAGGTGTTTAACAAGCACCCTAGTGATCCCTAGGGCTTTTGACATTTAGGAAGGTATTAAATAAACGCTTGCTATGCCTTCGTAGGCCTAGCGATTTGGACTTCCAGCATCTCTCTGGAAGGGGTCCAGCCTTTAGTCCCTTAAATTTCCCCAGCTCCCAGCCCAGCCAGACTCGATCCTGCCCTTCTTTCTTCCACATCCCAGCACGTCCTATGGTTAAGGTCACCTTCACCCTGATACCAAAGACCCTGTCACTAGCCGTGCAGAGAACCAACCCTGCCTTCCCAGGCTCCCTGGATCTGTGTCCTTGGACAGCATTGTGGGCCCATAGCAGCACAGAATTGTCCACATCACATGGACACATGCTGATTCTAACCTCTGGTTCCTCCTGAGAAGGTACTGTTCTTTACACACATTAGTTGCTTTTGGCCCTGTTGGCAACTTGCTCCCTGCTGAGCAGCCTGTGAAGTAAGCAGCTTATTTCTGATCATTCTATACTCTAAAACAACACAAAGCGCCCATCACAGTCATGCACAAGGACATTACATTCTCCAGTGGTGCGTCCCAGATGTGTAATGTACAGCACTCACCCCTATCCAAGGGGATATTTCCCAATAGTCCAGTGAATGCCCTGGTAGCATCAAACCCTACACACACTAACTTTCTCCCTATCCATATCATGATAAAGTTTAACTGGCAAATTAGGCACCATAAGAGATCATCATAATAATTAATAACAAAATAGAACAATTGTAATAATATACTATAGTAAAATTATGTGAATGTGGCAAATTTCAGAATTTTACAGTTAATGTTTTTGGATCATGGTTGACTGTGGGAAACTGAATTATAATTACTACTTATTCTGCACCTTTATTTATGCAAGCCATTTTATGAACATGTATAGTAAACCCATTTTCATTTTGTCTCTGAGAATACAGCCTACACTCTCAACTTCTTTGTAATCTTTATCTTTTATCTCTATATTTTTATCTTTTGTTTCTCACAGCACTAAAATGAACAAACTAGGCCATCAACAGTAGTTATGAAAAAAATGAAGGGGGTAAGCATTTGGTTAATGGTTAAGCCATTACTTAAGATCCCAAATCACAATTTGGAGGCCTGGGTTCAAGTCCTGGCCCCCTGCTCAATTCCAGCTTCCTACCAATGTGCATTCTGGGAGGCAGCGCATGATGGTTCAAGTAGTTGGGTCCCTGCCACCCACACTGAAGATCCAGACAGAATTCTCAGCTCCTAGTTTTGAGCTGGTCCAGCCCTTGCTATTGCAGACACTTGAGGAGTGAACCATCAGGTGGGAGATCTCTGTCTCTTTCAGGAATGCGCCTTAGGATGCATGTCACTAGGGACGTCCCTTAGGGTGCACGTTACTAGGGATGTCCATTAGAATACACATCACTAGGGAAGCCCATTAGAATACAAGTCATTGGGGATGTCCATTAGAATACATGTCACTAGGGACCCCATTAGGGTGCATGTCACAAGACACGCCCATTGGGACGCATGTCACTAGGGAAGCCCGTTAGAATACACCTCACTAGGGAAGCCCATTAGAATACACGTCACTAGGGACCCCATTAGAATACAAGTCATTGGGGATGTCCATTAGAATACACATCACTAGGGACCCCATTAGAATACAAGTCATTGGGGATGTCCATTAGAATACACGTCACTAGGGAAGCCCATTAGAATACAAGTCACTAGGGACATCATTAGGGTGCATGTCACAAGACATGCCCATTGGGACACATGTCAATAGGGAAGCCCGTTAGAATACACGTCACTAGGGATGCCCACTAAGGTGCACGACACTAGGGACGTCCATTGGGACACATGTCTCTAGGGACACCCACTGGGATGCATGTTACTAGGGATGTCCATTGGGACCCACATCACTCAAGATGCCCATCATGATATGTCACCAGGGATACCGATTAGCATACCCACTAACTGTTACCTGTATACATTTACAAAGCAACTTAATACTTTCTTATTACACCTTTATACTATATTTCTGCAACTCTTTTTCATGCTAAAATGAGCCCTTGAGGAAGTCTATCTGAATGACTTTTTATTTTCCATGCTTGTACCGCCAAAATTCTTTTCCTGTTATGAAGAATGGATTCCATTTTCCTAAAACTTAGCCTCATGTGGTTTTATATTAAATTCTTAAAACCCAAGCCCTTAAAATTCTGAGTAGTAATAAAACATAATTCAATAGAAACTTTGCTAATGTACCACTCTATTAAGATGGGTAGCTATGAAAATCTACATTTTGTAGAGAATATCCCCAATTATGATACAGAAATACTTCACTCATCAGCATCTCATCAGGTTCAGGGTTCTGTAAAACTGTTTTTCAATCCAGATTTTATCTCCAAAACTTTATTCTGCTCTCCCAAAATAGCAATAGCTACTTGGGAAATGGACCAAAATGCTAGAAGTTGAAATAGGATGCTTAAACTTGCCCAAACCATTGTGTCCTGATGTCCTCCAGAACCCCAAACCATTAACAGCTTTGCAGTTCACTGCAAGCTGCATGTGTCACCATTTTTCTCTTAAAAAATATCAGAACACGGCTGGCGCCGCGGCTCACTAGGCTAATCCTCCGCCTTGCAGCGCCGGCACACCGGGTTCTAGTCCCAGTCGGGGCACCGGATTCTGTCCCGGTTGCCCCTCTTCCAGGCCAGCTCTCTGCTGTGGCCAGGGAGTGCAGTGGAGGATGGCCCAAGTGCTTGGGCCCTGCACCCCATGGGAGACCAGGAAAAGCACCTGGCTCCTGGCTCCTGCCATTGGATCAGCGCGGTGCGCCGGCCGCGGCAGCCATTGGAGGGTGAACCAACGGCAAAGGAGGACCTTTCTCTCTGTCTCTCTCTCTCACTGTCCACTCTGCCTGTCAATAAATAAATAAATAAATAAATAAATAAATAAAAATATCAGAACACTTGTTTTCCTTGAACAGTGCACGTGGGAAACAATTAGATCACTTGTGATGACAAGATGTTAGTGTTATTTCAAATTTTGCTTAATTGGAACTTAAAAAATCAGTGTAAAGGACAGGAGATACAATAAGGGTGGACTTTTTTTTATTATTTGAGAGATTTTTCATATGCTCATTCATTCCCCAAATGGCAGCCAGCAGTGGCTGGAGCTGGACTGATCAGAAGCCAGGAGCCAGAAGCACATCAGCAGGGAGGTGGATCAGAAGTGGAGCAGCCAGGACCTATATGGGATGCTGGCACCACAGGTGGTGGCTTTACCTGCTACACCACAGCGCTGGCCCCAAGGGGAGACTTTTAAAAAGCCAGTTTCAGGGTCATCATTGTAGCATAGCGGGTAAAGCCACTGCCTGCAGTGCCGGCATCCCATATGGGCACCAGTTCAAGTCCCAGCTGCTCCTCTTCTGATCCAGCTCTCTGCTATGGCCTGGGAAAGCAGTAGAAGATGGCCCAAGTCCTTGGGCCCCTACTACCCACATGAGAGACTTGGAAGAAGCTCCTGGCTCCTGGCTTCAGACCAGTGCAGCTCCCCAGCCATTGCAGCCTTTTGGGGAGTGAACCAATGGAAGGAAGACCTTTCTATCTGTCTCTTACTCTCATTGTCTATAACTCTACCTCTCAAATAAATAAATCAAATATTTTTAAAAGATTCTTTTTCATTCAAAGGAAAAGAATAATTAGATATAGGAAGTGTTTCTTTTACAAAGTTTTAAATTACCAGAATGCAAGGTTTCTAGTGCTGTGTGAGGCAGTGACAGTGACTGCTGGGAAGACAGGAAGGTTTACAGTAAGCCATAGCGATTTTGCAGTCACAATTCCAACACTTCAGGCTGGTTTCTTCCCTCCCTTTCATTGGCCTGGTTTCTGCCACTCTCTGTGCCTCTTCATAATGAGAGGTTGTGAACATTCTCTACTTCTCTTTT